GTATTTTCAAATTGCAAGACCTTTTTACTGATGTCAAGGGTGCTCCAACAAAGGGAGGAAAGCTCCCTGAACTTGTCAAGTGGGTTCTTAGCTTCACAAGGGAATGAATTCGAGTGAGCCAACTAGCGAAAGAAAATTTGAGAGAGAGGCAGACAATAGATCCTACTGCACAGAGTAGGGGCCCTCTCCCAAGCAGGAGGGGGACACCTTGTGGGGCAATGGTAATGTTTTTAAATGTTCAAAACTCCTGGCAGGAAACAGCCATATGTGACCAGCGCACTGTCTTGTGTTCAGGCCATAAAGGTTAATCATAAACTGCTGTCACAGAAAGGTTAAGCACAGTTTATAAGGCATCCGGCTTACTAGTTCATCCATCCTGGGTTGGTCCCAGGCTGGTGACCTGCTGGCAACTTCCTTGTTCAGGGTGGCTGGGTCTGGTGTCGGTCAAGATGGCTGCACTCAGGCTCTTTTGACCTTCCTTTTGACCTGCCTTATCCCTGTGTTATTTCTATACTCCAGTTATTTGTTACAGTATTGTGTTCTAGCTTAATGAATGCAATTTCTCCGCATATTTCTCCTATAGAAATAGTTAGACTTCTTAATGTCTGATCCCTGAAGTATCTTTACTTTCACTGGAGTTTATTTCTGTTTCTTTTGGTCATTCACTTAAGTTACAAGCTTTACTCAAATGTCAGTCTGATCCTTGATTCTTGGTTATTTCAAAAGGCTGACTGGGAAATCAGAGACAAGCCACTGGATATATTCTCAGATTCAGTGATTTGTTACGTAAATTGAGGATGTGCAGGTTTGTCTTGCGTAGTCTTAGGCCATTTACGAGTTACAAATTCATTCCATTTCTTTAGAGAAATTGTTTCAGTTTTGTTTTGCTGGATGATTAAACACATGATTGCAAGCTGTTTTTTGAGTTAGAATTCAGAAGCATAGTGCAAGCATTTGATGGTTTTCCATTCCACTTTTTTCTCCTCTCCTCCATAGAACGTACTGACTTTAAACCTAAGACCTCCTCAGTACCTTATAGTAATGGTGGCTTCTTCCTCAGTTGTAAGATATTCCTACAAATCCTACCGTGTTTCCCCGAAAATAAGACCCACCCATAAAATAAGCCCTAGCAGGATTTCTAAGCATTTGCGCAATATAAGCCCTGCCCCGAAAATAAGACCTAGTGATGGGAGTGGCTACGCAGCGTATCTGCACAACCCATGCATTTAATCTCAGAGCGGTAAAGAAGACGAGCAGCCCTTCTCATCTGCCCCATGAGAGCTCTATCGCTCCACATGAGAGATTGGAGCCAATGGTTCTAAAGGAAATAGTCGCAAGAAATTCAGGATGGAATTCGGGGTTTGGAGAGTTATGATGATGTTCCAGAAGAAGATGACTTAACTCTATTTGAATAAATGTAGATTATTGTACTGTACTTAAAAAAAATAACACATCCCCTGAAAATAAGACCTAGGGTGTCTTCTTGAGGAAAAATAAATATAAGACCTTGTCTTATTTTCGGGGAAACACAGTAGGTTCCAGGTTCCTCGAATCTGCTATCATCAGTCCACTCTTTCTGCCTACCAGAAATTTGTCATGATCTTTTGTCCTTCAATGGCCCCATTCTGTTCTAGTCAAAGTTGTAGGCTTGTACCTTTTAAATTCCTTTATCATTTTACTGGGATCTCAATGGAAAGAAGATAAATATGCATGCTTATTCTACTTTGAACATAAATTCTAGAAGATTTTTTTTGGGGGGGAGGAGATGGGAGAACTTGTATATAGATAAAATTTCAAACTTCTAAAAATATTTTGCTTCATTTGTTTTATCTTCACACACATACCTACACATACATATGTAAACATATTTTTTGGAACAATTTGAAAGTACATTAAATACATCATATACCTTTAGTCTTAAATGTCTCAAGCATATATTTCCTAAGAATCAGACATTCTCTTACATAAGACAGTATAAATTTCAAGATTAGGAAAATTATTTAGTATGATATTATTACTTAACCCATGGTCCATATTCAAACTTTGTCAACTTTGAAGCCCAGGAGCAGTGGCTCATACCTGTAATCCTAGCACTGTGGGAGGCCCAGGTGGGAGGATTGCTTGAGATCAGAAGTTCAAGACCAGCCTGAGTGGAGAGCAAGATTCCGTCTCTACTAAAAAATAGAAAAAAAAAAAAAATTAAAAAAAAAATAAAGAAACAAACTTTGTCAAGTTTCATAATGTTTTTATAGCAAATTTTCATGGTCTAGGAGCAAATTCAGAATTTCACATTACATTTAGTTGTCATGTCTTTTCAACATAGAACAGTTTGTCTTTCTTCATCATCCATAACATTGATATTTTTGAGGTCATTGTAGACTGTCCATTAATTTGGGGTTTTCCTAATATTATGACTTAATTCATTTGTGCATTTTTGTAGGAACATCACAAGTGATCCTATTTCCTTCTTAGAGCATCCTCTCAGTTGCTGCAGGATGTCAGTTGGTCATATTACCGGTGTTAACTTTATTCACTTGTTAAAGTTGGTATTTGCTGGGTTTCTCCATTATGAAGCTACTGTAGAAGAGAACATGTTTTTTTCCCTTTTTATGTTCTTCATTGAGACATTCTCCTGTGTCAGATTAACAAAAAAATAAGCAGAAGTTTATTAATGAATAAACTTCTTATTAATGAATAATTTATTTATGAATGTGCTGTACCCAACACACAGGAGAGGCCTCAGTTCAAAAGTGTATCTCTGAAAACAGTGGATTAGGGGCCTTCTAAAGTATTTTAATAAAGAACAATAAATTTTATAGTGATGAGACAAAGGAGAGAGCAGGTCCAGTCTTTTAAAAGGCAGGAAAATGTGGGAAGATAGTAAAATCTATTCCCAGATTCTTCTGGTGGCTGCTGGTGCCTTCTCTGAGCTGACAAGAAACTGCTGTCTCAATATTTTGGGGAGAAATATTTTGGTCTCTTCCACTATTTTTTTTCCTTTGTTAGGTAATAAGCTATTTGTGAGGAGATCAGAGGATTTAAGGATAGGGAAGTCTTGAGCATTTTGAGGAAAAACAAGCCAGAGGAGGAAGAGTTAGGAAAGATAATGGAAAGTATGAGATCCTGGGGGTGGAAAAGAAATGGTGCCATTCTGAGAGTGAATCACAATTTATCCAAAACAATAGCCCAAGAATGAACATGTAATTAACTTGGTCATCAATGATGGTAGATTTGATTCATAGATTCACATTACTTTATTTATTTCAGTGCCTTTAAAATCTAGTTCTTCTGCCAAAACCGGTCATGAAGATGTCACTGACGAAGACTGGATGGATGAGGGACAAGGGGAAGAGGAGATAACTTTCATTCTATGCTTTTGTATAATTGTCTCTTGGTTATATTACCTATTATAAACCATAAATTGAAAAAGTATTCCTGATTATTCTGAAAAGTCCTTGATAGTTTCTTTTCTTTACAATTTCAATTAGGCCAAGGAAAATCAATGTTAATATGATTCATAATTATCAAGTCTTATATCTATCTATAGCATTATTAATACTTTTGTTACCGAAAGTTCAGTACTTGTCCCCAAGGCTGAATCAGTAAGAACAAAGAATGAGGACAAGTGGTTTAAAGGAAAAGGAAAGAGAAGTTTATTAATTTACTAGCAAATGAGGAGGGCAGCAGACTAGCATCTTGAAAGACCACCATCCTGCCTTTAAACAGAAATATAGGGCTTTTTAAAAGGGCATTTTCAGAAGTTGGGCTCGGGTCTATGTGACCAGTGTCACATGTCATGGCTTTGGTCTATTGTTTAATTGTAGTTGGTGGTTTTGGTCAACCTTATCTCTGGTGAAGATGATCCTGTGACCGCTGGACAATTCTGTTGAGCCATCTCCTATGATTTAAGATACTAGAAAACAAAGAACAAAGAATATTTTTTTGCCCCTTTGATTACTGGACTTGGGCAGGAATGTAGGTTTTAATTTCCAAAAAAGGTGTGAAGGGTTTTAAAGAGACAACACATAATACATTTTGCCCTTTTTCAGACCTTTACCACTGTTACACTTTGAGTACCATTATTGTTTTGCCTATTAAATCTTTAAATTTTTTAACTAAACTTATTTTGAGACTATAGATTCACATACAGTTGTAAGAAATAATACAGAGATCCTGTATAGCCTTTACCTAGTTTCTTCCCAATAAATCCATCTTGCAGAACTAGAGTATAATGCCATAACTGTATCATATTGATAGTCAAGATAGAACATTGCTATCATAAGGATCCTTCCTTCGTGTTGCCCTTTGATAACCATACTCACTTCCCTCCTACCCTTACTTCTCTTTCACATCTGTGAGTACACTTATTTAAAATGTATTAATATATATTTAATAAGAATCTTTTTAGATGTGTGCTCCTATGATCTTTAAAAAGGAACATAAGGGATCTTGTTCATTTCCCCTCAATATTAGTAAATATTAGTAAATATTAGACTCACTGGTTAGTGAGTCTAATTTTGCCTAATAAAGTCATATAAACGGTAAACATCCATTCTTTTCTCTAGCAAAGGCCAGTGGGGCTTAATGCTTTATTTGTAATAAACTTTTAATTTTGGAATAATTATAGACTTACAGAAAGGCAGTAAAGATAGTATAGAGTTCCTACACACCCTTTACCCAACTTCTCTAATATTAACATCTAACATACCATGATACATCTGTCAAAACTAAGTGACTATTGACATGTTACCATTTATGAAACTCTAGATTTTATTTAGATTTCACACTTTTTTTCACTAATCTTTTTCTATTCCAGGACCCAATCCAGGAAATAACAATTTATTTAATTATGGCATTATTTTAATTATAGTCACGTGTTGCATAAGAACATTTCAGTCAATAGATGGATATGACAGTGGTCTCATAAAATTATAATACCTTATTTTTATTGTGCCTTTTCCATGTTTAGAAATGTTTAGCATTTTGTGGAGAGGCGAAGACTGAGTGGTTTTGGCCGCATTGTTGACTTCAAGCAGCACTCGGCTTCTGCACGTAGAACCCGGGAGTCAGAAGACTCATAATTGAATCTCTTCTCCCTCCCACCTCCTGTGAGATTTTTTTGATCTTCAGCTACATTTTTTCGGCTTCGTGAGAAACCTTAGCATCAAACGCAATGGCTAGCAAGGTCACCAACAAGACAGATCTTCGCTCCATGAACTCCCGTATATTCATTGGGAATCTCAACACTCTTGTGGTCAAGAAGTCTGATGTGGAGGCAATCTTCTCGAAATATGGCAAAATTGTGGGTTGCTCTGTTCACAAGGGCTTTGCCTTCGTTCAGTATGTTAATGAGCGAAATGCCTGGGCTGCTGTAGCAGGAGAGGATGGCAGAATGATTGCTGGCCAAGTTTTAGATATTAATGTGGCTGCAAAGCCAAAAGTGAATCGAGGAAAAGCAGGTGTGAAACAATCTGCAGCGGAGATGTACAGGTCAGGACCAGAACACTCTTCTCCGTCCCCTCTCCTCAGCTCCTCTTTTGACTTGGCCTATGACTTTCAATGGGATTATTATGACAGGATGTACAGTTACCCAGCATGTGTTCCTCCTCCTCCTCCTCCTCCTCCTCCTCCTCCTCCTCCTCTTGCTTGGGCTGTGGTACCCTCAAAACACCAGTGTGTATCAGGAAACACCTCACAAAGGGGGGAAAGTGGCTTCAATTCTAAGAGTGGACAGCAGGGTTCTTCTTCCAAGTCTGGAAAGTTGAAAGCAGATGACCTTCAGGCCATTCAGAAGGAATTGACTCAGATAAAACAAAAAGTGGACTCTCTACTGGAAAACCTGGAAAAACTTGAAAAGGAACAGAGCAAACAAGCAGTAGAGATGAAGAATGATAAGTCAGAAGAGGAGCAGAGCAGCAGCTCCCAGAAGAAAGACGAGACTAATGTGAAGATGGAGTCTGAGGGGGGGGTGCAGATGACTGCTGAGAAGGGGGACCTACTGGATGATGATGATAATGAAGATCAGGGGGATGACCAGCTGGAGTTGATCAAGGATGATGAAAAAGAGGCTGAGGAAGGAGAGGATGACTCTTAAGCACATAGTGGGGTTTAGAAATCTTATCCCATTATTTCTTTACCTAGGCACTTGTCTAAGATCAAAATTTTCACCAGATCCTCTCCCCTAGTATCTTCAGCACATGCTCACTGTTCTCCCCATCCTTGTCCTTCCCATGTTTATTAATTCATACTGCCCTGCGCCTAGTCCCATTTTCACTTCCTTTGATGCTCCTAGTAGTTTTAAGTCTTAGCCTGTAACTTTTTGCTTTTAATTTTGATACCTCGTTGATTTAACAATAAAAAGGATGTATGGTTTTTTGTTAAAAAAATGTTTAGATACACACATACTTACCATTGTAACAATTGCTTAAAGTGTTCAATACAGTAACATCCTGTTATGGGTTTGTGGCCTAGGACCGATCTAGCCTCTACCATGTAGGCTAGGCGTGTAGTAGGCTAAACCACCTAGGTTTGTATAAGTACACTATGATGTTCGTACAACCAAGAATTTGCCCAGTGACGCATTCCTCAGAACATAGCCCTATTGTTAATTGATGCATGAGTGTATGAGAATTTATCCAGTGCTTCTTGGAGAACAAAAGTATAAAACAATTCTATTTCATATCTAAAATACTTTCATGTTAAGATGTTATCCAAATCTAGCCATCTAACAAATAATATTGGTTTAACTTATCCATGAAAATCTGTCCCAGTATCAATAGAAAAAAATGAATCAATAAACTGAAGGGCTGTTAGATATTTCAAAACTGCTTAGGGAATATTGTGCACATATTGTTTTTTGGCTATTTATTTGAGAAGCCATTAAAACTGGGATTTTTTGAAAAAACAAAACAAAAGTTGAAGGTTTACAAAAACATGTACCATTAATCTTCAGTTGATTTCTGCTTTCTGGGTGGTAGAATATAATCCGATAAATATTTTAGAAGTTTTCTTTCAAATTTACACATTATTCAGTTAATTCAACATTCTTTTGACAGATACTTACTGAATGCCTGCAATATGCCAAACACTATTGAAACTCATGGGACTCATCAGTGCAGAGCAGATATCCTGATTGTAAGAGGTTCTCAGCGTCTTCTCACAAATTGCAGCAATTGTCTTTTAATCACTCTGGCTTTTATTGTTCCCTTTTGTCTCTGTGTGAAGATCCATATGATACTGAAATATTAAACATTCATTCTTCTCCAATGAGACTATACTCATGACTAAATCCCTCTTTTGAAAAAAAGTGTTTTCCTTAGCTGCTCTGAGAAGGGTTTTATAGTTCACCCTGGCATTTTTTTTCTTTTCATTTTTTTAGTAGGAAAGCACCCCTAGAATTAGTACGACTTGGAAAGGGACTCCTATACCTGGAATTGTTGTTTTCTTGAATCCCACCATCAAATATTCCTGGGGCTACAGCAATGTTAATTAACTTTCCTATTGCCCCCCCCCCACAACACTGTATGATTCCTTTGTATGAAATTCAGAATGGGCAAAACTCATCTATGATGACACATTTAGAACAATGGTTACCCTTTCTAGAGAACTAACCCAGACAGGTCACAAAACAGCCTTCTGAGATGCTTTAAATATTCCATATCTTGATCTGATTGGTGGGTACAAGGATGTCTACACATATAAAAATTTTCAGGCTATCTGTTTAAGTTATTGATGATATATAAAAGTATATAAATCTTAAGAAAACAGGCCCACACTGGTGTGGTGGCTCACCCTGTAATCCTAGCACTCCGGTAGGCTGAGGTGAGAGGATCTCTTGAGGTCAGGAGTTCGAGACAAGCCTGAGTGAGATGGAGACCCCTCTCTACTAAAAATAGAAAAAATTAGTAGGGCATGGTAGTGCATGCCTGTAGTCCCAGCTACTCGGGAGGCTGAGGCAGAAGGATTGCTTGAGCCTGGGAGTTTGAGGTTGCTGTGAGCTAGGCTAATGCCACGGCACTCTAGCCCAGGCAACAGAGCAAGACTATCTCAAAAAAAATAATAAAAAAATAAAATAAAAAATAAACCCCTTTTCTTTATAAATTACCCAGTCTCAGATGTTACTTTATAACAATGCCAAATGGACTAAGACACTACATCTTATTATTTTATTTATTTTTTTGAGACAGTCTCTTGCTGTGTTGCCCGTGCTAGAGTGCCGTGGCATCAGCCTAGCTCACAGCAACCTCAAACTCCTGGATTCAAGCGATCCTTCTGCCTCAGCCTCCCGAGTAACTGGGACTACAGGCATGTGCCACCATGCCCGGCTAAATTTTTCTATATATTTTTAGTTGGCCAATTAATTTCTTTATAGTAGAGACGAGGTCTCGCTCTTGCTCAGGCTGGTTTTGAACTCCTGACCTTGAGCTATCCGCCCGCCCCAGCCTCCCAGAGTGGTAGGGTTATAGGCGTTAGCCAGTGTGCCCGGCCAAGACATTACATCTTAACTACATTTAATTGATAAAAATAAGTCAATTTGAATGGATCACTGTTGACAGTGTTGCAGGAGGAAAAAGATATTTTTTTAATATGCTGCTGATGGAATATGGATAACATTTACCAAGGACATACTTCAAAAGAAGAGGAAAAGGCCGAGTGCACAAAGACATTTAGAGCTCCACATTGTATTCCAGTCAAAACTAGAAAGTATCTAAAATACTGCTGTGGAGAAATTACTAGGCAAATCGTTACAAGTTTTGGCAATGGATTGATATTTCAATTAAAAGTGACAAATGTCAGGAACACATAAATATGTAAAAACAAATATATAAAGTAATATTAAAACAGTATACTTGTGTTGATACCTCATAAAATTTATAGTATAGTTGGATTGTAGTTTTTTTTTTTGTTTTGTTTTTTTTTTCTTTCTTGAGACAGAGTCTCGCTTTATTACCCAGGCTAGAGTGAGTGCCGTGGCGTCAGCCTAGCTCACAGCAACCTCCAACTCCTGGGCTCAAGAGATCCTCCTGCCTCAGCCTCCTGAGTAGCTGGGACTACAGGCATGCGCTACCATGCCTGGCTAGTTTTTTCTATATATATTTTAGTTGTCCAGCTAATTTCTTTCCATTTCTTTAGTGGAGACGGGGTCTCGCTCTTGCTTAGGTTGGTCTTTAACACCTGAGCTCAAATGATCCGCCTGCCTCCACCACCCAGGGTGCTAGGATTACAGGGTGAGCCACCGTGCACAGCCTAAAATTTATAATATAAACAGTAGGATTGGAAGGGACCCTGTTGCTATATAACAAATAATTTTTAAATGATGTTTTCTTCCTTATTTAAATATTTTGTTTTGCTTTGTTTGATACCATCTAATTAAAAAGTTAAAACATAAAAATGTGAAAAAACAAAAGAGCAGAGAGAACTAAAATTCTCTCCTAGGGCTGTGTGTTATCTTTTTTTTTACACTGGTGCACTTGGATATTATCTTTTAGAATGTTTTCACATTTACACACTGTGGTGGTTTATTTACTATTTATAATTGTGATACCCTTTGTTCCTTTTTAATTTTATAAACTCAACACTGATATATTCTTAGAGAATATCTAGTCCAACCTTCTCATTTTCAGACTGAGAATATTGAGGCCCAGGGAAATTAAGGGACTGCTCAAAGTCACACAACTTGTCAGATGCAAGTTATTTTTTAGATTATATATAAGCATTACTTCTTTTCTTTTTCTTTTTTTTTTGTTTTTTTTTTTTTGAGACAGGGTCTCCCTCTGTTGTCAGGGCTAGAGTGCTGTGGTGTCAGCCTAGTTCACAGCAACCTCAAACTCCTGGGTTCAAGCAATCCTCCTGCTTCAGCCTCTCAAGTAGCTGGGACTACTGGCACATGCCACCATGCCCAGTTTATTTTTTCTATTTTTAGTAGAGATGGGGTCTTGCTCTTGCTCAGGACGGTCTTGAACTCTTGACCTCAAGCAATCCTCCTGCCTCAGCCTCCCAAAGTGACATCATTTTAAAACTTTTTTATTTTAGTATAGTTGTAGATTCATGGAAAGTAGCAAAATGCTACATAGAATCCCATGAACCCTTCACCCAGCTTCTTCCAAAGGTGACATCCTATATGACCTTAGTATAATACTATGATATTATTTTACATTAATAATGATTTTAAGTTCATTGAAGGTCTGCAACAGCAATCAAAGTGGCCAAATAATTTTATCTCAGACTTAATTTCATCTGGCTCCATAGTAGAAGATTGCATAAAAAATGGTGGTGTGTTCTTTTAAGATAGATAACCTTTAATCATGGAAGAGGTGGCAATTTGCATATGCAAGAGAACTCTTCATTAGTTAGAATATGGTTTGTTTAAAGTTCATCTGCTTTAAATTTAATGTAGTACATAATGGTTAACTAATCAACCTTGATTCTCTACACATTCATATGTCCTCAAAATTTTAGTTGAAAGCCTTCTATATTCAGTTGCCTATAATTAATGTGACAATCCTTAAGTCACATCATAATATATTGAATTGTGTAGAATGAATTATGCTATTCTAAGAGATGATGTGACAGTTTAAAATATAATTCAATATAAACATTTTAACTGTTTGATATCTACTTAATTGAAGTACATGTAAATATTTTGACAAAGCAGCTTATCCCTGTGGATGGATTAAAAGAGCTAAGAGTTCCAATATCTTTATTTTTTTTTTACTTATGCATCTTTATTAATAGACTTAATGTATATGTATTCACCATTTATGTCATGTATAAATTATTAAAGATACAATTATTTAGAGAAAATAAACCATACACAAACACATACACATATTGTATGTGTGAAATACTTTATTATTTTCACCATTTCTTAAAAATGCCATCTACATTCAAAATGTTTATTTCACTCATTCTTATGCATTCCACTAATTTCCTCATATTTATGTTCTTTTTTTTTGTCCTTTGAAATCTTTCTTAAATGCCAACACTCATTTTATTTTATTTTATTTTATTATTTTTTTTTATTTCAGCATATTATGGGGGGTACAGATTTTAAGGTTTCAATAAATGCCCATTTCCCCCCCTCCCCCCAAAATTCTGAGTCTCCATCATGACCATCCCCCAGATGGTGCACATCTCACTCATGTTTATGATGTATATCCCACCCCTCCCCTGCCCAATACCCTATTACTGTAGTACCTATGTGTCCACTTAGGTGCTACTCAGTTAATACCAGTTTGCTGGAGAATATATCTGGTGCTTGTTTTTCCATTCTTGGGATACTTCACTTAGTAGTATGGGTTCCAGCTCTAACCAGGAAAATATAAGATGTGCTATACTCCCATCTGTTTC